GTATTGTAAAGTTGTGTGAATTTTTCAATAAATTCTTTTGTCAAAACCACTTGCAATCTGATTCATAGCTGAGCGCCTTGCCGCCGGTTACAGTAGCACTTAATAGCCAGTGGCTAACAAACCTGTGGCCCTCATTCCATGATCGAATTGGAATTTAGGAGTTGATTTTTGCGGAGAGAAAACCCGGAAAACCCTCAAAGCACAGGAGAGAACCAACAAACAACTCTACTCATATACAACACCGAACCCAACGGGATTCGAACTTGGGTCGCATTGATGAGAGGCGAGCGTTCACACCGCTACGCCACCCGTGCTTTCCGTAAAAATTAGTGGTAGCTGAGGCATGAAACATTGTTAGGGTTAAGGTCTATTATCAAGTACTATTCAAAACTCTGTAATGTTCACTGCCAGACCTAGATTAGAACTTAGCCAAAATTTATTGTGAATATTCTAATATACAGCATGAAGATGCTGAGCTGTAAAAGGATTTCATAGCAGCCATGTTACAGGACAAGAACGATGCAATGATTATACATGGGAAAAAATTCATTTTCCAATAAAGAAAATTCAACATTAAATCCATATCCCTTTGCTTCACTCTTCACTGGTCCCCTTGTCACATTTCCCTTTTCTGTAATGCTATTTAGGCATCGTTAATGGAGTGGAATGGTTTGGAAATTCCATAGAACAAAGCTATTGTTTTGCCTTTGATGTTGAACTGTACCATCACGTGTTACTGACCGTGCACAATGAACCAAAGCAAGTATATGGCTAAAAATAGTCATTTCGTTATTATTTTCATGTATGAACATTTCGAAAGTGAAAACTTTCATTCAATCACCACAAACTATGGGGATAAATATTTCCGCTGCGCAGATACAACTAAGTTACTAGATGATAAATAAGAAAGCATGAAAAAATGCAATTTCCTTTTAAATAAACAATTTGTATTAATCATATAGGATTAATTAACAAATAACAAGTATTTTAGAACGTTTTTTAGGGTTAAAAACTTCTATATTCCCGAATACTATGAACAAACGGAGCAACTTTTCCTTTTCTGTGCACCATCAACATCATATAACAATGGATAAAGAAAAAGTCTAGGTTAGTTCCTTGTGTTTCACTAAAATTTTCAAAATTAAAGTGAATTTGGCCAAGAAAATCCAACTTAAAGTTTATGCAAATGAACACAGTTTTTTATCAGATTTACAACACTCTTCACGGTCGTGATTTCTGTTGTGTTTTCCTCATGAATTATTAATGAGTTTGATAATAACATTTACAAGCTACATGACCTGCACAGATAACAGCCCATTTCTTACAACTAGCCACATTGCTATTTGAGCAATAAGATACCAAATTTTTCTAACAGAGTGGTAAGAGGGTGGGGGGATGTAGGAATAATGTTTCAAGGGGGGAAAGTGGTGAAATCTCATTTCATGCAAATAATAAAATGGCCATTTCCTGTTTCAAAAAATAAACCGAGTAATTTATGTTTCATTGAATGAGTCCTTGCAGAGTAAACTAGTTTGAGCTGTACTTGTAAGTGTATAAAGCATGTTGAATACCATGTAATAAAAAAGGTATACTTATTTAGCTGATACTTAATTCGGACATTAGTCCTTCTTTATACCTGTCTAAGGAAGGACTAACGACTGAAATGACATAATAATATAAGTTAAGCACTGGACCTTTTCTTCTAATAAGACGTTAAATGTTTCCTTTTGGCTTTTAATCCTTTTCACTTTCTCACATTAAAAAGAGCCAAATTTTTTTCATTTTTTTAGCTGTATAAAAAAGACTTGAAACATCATTTAAACTGATAAAATTTCAAACAGTTTTTTTTGCAAGGTACAGATTTACTTCAATATATTTGTATTCTAAATAAAGTTATAGAAGACTATATTATATGTAAGAACATGTATATTTGCTCAACATTTAGCTAGAGTAACCGTTAATCATAAAAGATTATCCAAGATAATTATAATCCAAATAGCAGGCTTTAGTATATTATAGTCACCAGTTAAAGTCTAATGATTTTTGGTTTATGACCTATATTATAACGTGCTTGACATATGCCTGGACATGTGTGAAACAGAAAAGTATAGCCAAATTTACCTTGAAAAAATGGAACAAAAAAGGACATTTTTCATCATCAGTCATTTTGATCTACTGGTTCAAAAGGAGTGAAAATGCTATGGAAGTTTAAACATTCATAGGTATTTTTCACAGGTTTTTCTCATGTTCTCATCCAGTAGTGTACATTGTTAGCTACTCTATTGTACACAATCATATATATTGCTTATCTCTGTCAAAAAAAGTACAAAGAGAAATACTTACTCCTTTCCATAATGTCTTGGCTTAGCAGAGATCTAATCAAATATAAAAAATATTAAATTAATATACTAATAATAATGTGACTAATAATAATGTGATTCATATCAAATATACTAAGCAGGGGTTGCAAGCTCCTGCCACTCTCAGTGTTGCTTGTGAGAAGATGTTTAGTTGGTGTGTTTGTTTGTTTGGTTCTCTCCTGTACTTCAAGGGTTTTTCTCCTAAACTTCTAAATTCTAATTTAATGTTTAGGCTTTCACCTAGGTGAAGACTAGCTCTGTTGTGATTGTCCCATGCGGATACAACAGCTAAAGCTTAATAGATAGAAATAAATAAAAAGTAATAATGATGCAAATTATGCAAATCAAAAATTATGATACTCTACATTTTAACTTTTATTTAAAACTGTCAGGCTCATGATTTATTTTATATAGGATGGCAGGGAAGTATTTGTGAAGTTTGTTTGTGATATCTGTGATATAAAAACCCTAAATATAAAATAACCAAGTTCTATTGTCGCTCTGATTGGTCCAAATGCCATTTTATAAGAGAGTATCCAAAATGCTCATGTCATTTTTGCCTGACATGCAATCTGAATTTGAACTTTCATAGGAAAAATAAAACAATATTTTTCATTGCTATATTTCGTTATTTTACTTCTTAAATAACTGTGTGCTCTAGTTGGTCAAAATGCCATTTAAGATGATAACATCTAAAATGCTTATGCTATATGCGTTGTGTTTTCCTACGTTTTTTTCTCGGCATCCCACTACCTTGTTTAGATCAGAGTATCTAAAACAGACAACAAACTTTTTTGTATTTCTTAAATTAAGTCTAAATTCTTGGTACAGACAGTATTGATGGAAGCAGAAAACAAAGGCCACCCAGAAATAATAGCTAGCTTTCTGAGTCATGGATTTATAAAAAGGGTGTATTTACAGCCTGAGTTTTGATTATAATTCATATGAACAAATGTGCAAATTGGCTGTTATTACCGGTAGCTTGATGCTGTATTGTGTAGTTCCAGGAAACATCCATACCCCCCCTTCCCAAGGAAGAATTTTTTTCAAATGCCCCCTACCCCCAGAGATTGCAATTTTCTTCCATGTGAACTCTGTAATTTTGTTCTTTCTCTGACCCCCCTGCCCCTTGAAAATTCAAAAATTCCTCTGTGGGGGGTAGGGGGTAGGAAAGTTTCTGGAACTACACATGTGTATAAAAATTAGAGCAGGAGCCATATTGGTATATGTAATAGGACGCCATGAGGAAAATTCCGAGGCCTTACAAAATTGGACGATTTGGCAGTCAGAGGAATTTTTCGAGTCTAATTATTTCTTGATTGGGGAGCATGAAATCCCATTACCTATTAATTATATAGCTGCCTTATTAATCCCATATCAACACGACCTGTCCAATTAAGAAAATAATTGGACAGTTACCTATTTGGGATTAATGAGAAGCTGTATAATTATTGAAGTAACATGATTAAGCCATAATATATACGTATATATATAGTATATACAGTAGGTTAGATATGTCAAATATAACCAAGAGGAATTTTAAGATTCATAAAACAAGTATTACATAGTTGGTTGGCAAAATTATGATATTTATCACATATTTAGGTTCAATATCTGCAGTGTGATGAAGGTTCATGCTGTAACTAAAAACCATATCCGTGAAGTGATATGATATCCTTTCACGGTAAACTGGAAACTGTGAGTTTCGTTATGGTATTGACCCTGAATGTGTAATTAACAATTACATTTTATCTTATGTTAAGAGCCTGATATCTTAAATTTTCATTCACTTGTTTTCCATATCATATTGCTCACTCACTCGTGGACTTGCTTGCTTGTGATATGATATGGATACTCGTAAATAAAATAAAGATGTCAAGCTTTATAATGTGGCAATCTATACAACATTCAATTAATTACAAATTAATACTATGAGAGACCTCAAGCTGTACACTGTATGCAAAAATTAACTAATATTGATAATGTCATTCCCAAACACACCACTACGACTCTGTTTACATTCATCATTCACCTTTTGTAAAGTAAGTAGATGGAAAAAAGTGAAAGAATTTAAATGAAAACAGGTAATATGTGGGATTAATGTTAGGAAGGATTAATCACAAAATCCATGACAGAGAGATTTAGTATTTTACCTCTTTATTGCATGGAATCCCGTTGGGTTTTGGGGCTTTTTGCTGCAACTGATACACTAGAAGCAAAACAAAACAAAATAGATATAAATAGATAAACGACTGGAATCGAAATTTGTCATCACTAATTGGTAATAATAAATCTTATGTGTCTCCTAATGAAGATCATTAATTATATAACTTACAGTATGATTTCCACACGGGTTGTTCATCTTGTTCAATTGTATCATACACACGTCCTTCAACTAGAAAAACAGATATATTTAGCATTAACTTAAAACTCTTTTGTTTATAAGAGTGAAAGGCCAACAGATAAATTCTGATCTGTCAGGAACTAAAGAAGCTTTAAAGCAGTTGGCAAATACGCAAATCTTAAAGGGCCACTTGGACGAAAATCGCTC